TATTTTAACGAAGTAGAAATCTTTTGAATATGATTTTCAAATATTTATAGAATTTACTAATTGATATATACATAATTATGTAAAGCATATATATTATTCAAAAATTATAAGAATGACAAAATTACTCTAAACTAACTTGAAAAATATATTGAATTTTATAAAGTCAATTATTTCAACTCGTTTGGAATTTAAGAAGCTCGATAATTAATTTACATCGGGGAGGGTCGAAATTGGGTGTCAACAATTAATATGATGAAAAACAAAATAGTATTAAACTAAAATCAAAGAATTAATGAAAAACAATTTTGTTTAGTTACACTTTTAGTTAAGGTTTTTGTAAGGGATACTAGATATAGGACCCCGTGCCAATATATATATATATATATATTTATTTTAATTTATGTCATATTATGGAATTTGAGAAGTTATTGAAATTTTTATATGATTTTAAAAATATTTTAAATTGTTAGCTATTGTGATTTGTAGTACTTTTTTTTAACATAATTTTGAAAAAAATATTTATTACTCTGTTTGTTCTAATTTATGTGGCACACGCAGAATTTTAAATATTAAGCATTTTTTATATGTCTCTTTAATATATTAAGTTGTTAATTATTGTATTTTATTGTACATTTTGAACCTAATTTTTTAATAATATATGTTATTTGCCATGTCCCAATTTATGTGACATTAATTGATAGATTTGTTAGAGTCGAGAGATTTATTTTGTTAATTATTGTAATTTATAGTTTTTTTTTTCCGTCAATTTCAAACAATATATGTTGTTAATTGATAGAATACTTTTAATGTAATTTTAAAAAAAAAATATGTGTGACTCTCCATGTCCCAATTTATGTGGCACATGTAAAGTTTTGACAATTAACCAAAATTTTAATACATTTAAAAAAATATTTTTAAGTCGTTAAATTTTAAGTAATAAGTAATTTAAATTGTTGTATTATTTATTACAATTTATAATACTTTTAAAGTAGTTAAAATATTGTACAATTTATTATGATTTATAACACATTTTTTAAAAATTTATGTCATATTATGGAATTTGAGAAGTTATTGAAATTTTTATATGATTTTAAAAATATTTTAAATTGCTAGCTATTGTGATTTGTAGTACTTTTTTTAACATAATTTTGAAAATAATATTTATTAATCTATTTGTTCTAATTTATGTGGCAGATGCAGAAATTCAAATATTAACCTTTTTTATATGTCTCTTTAATATATTAAGTTGTTAAATATTGTATTTTATAGTACATTTTGAACCTAATTTTTTAATAATATATGTTATTTGCCATGTCTCAATTTATGTGGCATTAATTGATAGATTTGTTGGAGTCGAGAGATTTATTTTGTTAATTATTGTAATTTATAATTTGTTTTTCGTCAATTTCGTCGACTATTTTTTTTATTAATTATTGTAATTTATTGTTTCTTTTTCGTCAATTTCAAACAATAAATGTTTATAATATAATCCATTTTTGTGGTACCAATAGAATTTAGAGAGTCAATTAAATTTTGTATATAAGTTTTAAATAATTAAGTTGTTAATTATTGTAATGTATAGTATTACTTATAGTATTTTTAAATATATTTAAATATTATATGTTAGGTTTTTTATCCTAATTCATATGGCATTGATAGAATTTAAAGTGTCAAATAATTGTTAGTTATTGTAATAGATAATATGGAGTATTTAAGTTATTTATAGTATAGTATAATTAATATATAATATGTAGTATTTAAGTGTTATATTATGGAATTTGAGAAGTTATTGAAATTTTTATATGATTTTAAAAATATTTTAAATTGTTAGCTATTGTGATTTGTAGTACTTTTTTTTTACATAATTTTTAAAATAATATTTATTACTCTATTTGTTCTAATTTATGTGGCACATGCAGAATTTCAAATATTAACCATTTTTTATATGTCTCTTTAATATATTAAGTTGTTAATTATTGTATTTTATAGTACATTTTGAACCTAATTTTTTAATAATATCTGTTATTTGCCATGTCCCAATTTATGTGGCATTAATTGATAGATTTGTTGGAGTTGAGAGATTTATTTTGTTAATTATTGTAATTTATAGTTTCTTTTTCGTCAATTTCAAACAATATATGTTGTTAATTGATAGAATACTTTTAATGTAATTTTTTAAAAAAAATATGTGTGACTGTCCATGTCCCAATTTATGTGGCACATGTAAAGTTTTGACAATTAACCAAAATTTTAATACATTTAAAAAAATATTTTTAAGTCATTAAATTTTAAGTAATTTAAATTATTGTATTATTTATTACAATTTATAATGCTCTTAAAGTAGTTTAAATATTGTACTATTTATTATGATTTATAACACTTTTTTTTTAAATTTATGTCATATTATGGAATTTGAGAAGTTATTGAAATTTTTATATGATTTAAAAAATATTGTAAATTGTTAGCAATTGTGATTTGTAGTACTTTTTTTTAACATAATTTTGAAAGTAATATTTATTACTCTATTTGTTCTAATTTATGTGGCACATGCAGAATTTTAAATATTAACCCTTTTTTATGTCTCTTTAATATATTAAGTTGTTAATTATTGTATTTTTTAGTACATTTTGAACCTAATTTTTTAATACCATATGTTATTTGCCATGTCCCAATTTATGTGGCAGTAATTGATAGATTTGTTGGAGTCGAGAGATTTATTTTGTTAATTATTGTAATTTATAGTTTCTTTTTCGTCAATTTCAAACAATATATGTTGTTAATTGATAGATTTTTTGGAGTGGACTATTTTTTTATTAATTATTGTAATTTATTGTTCTTTTTCGTCAATTTCAAACAATATATGTTTATTATATAATCTATTTTATGTGATACCAATAGAATTTAGAGACTCAATTAAATTTTTTATATAAGTTTTAAATAATTAAGCTGTTAATTATTGTAATGTATAGTATTACTTATATTATTTTTAAATATATTTAAATATTATATGTTAGGTTTTTTATCCTAATTTATATGGCATTGATAGAATTTAAAGTGTCAAATAATTGTTAATTATTGTAATAGATAATATGGAGTATTTAAGTCATTTATAGTATAGTAATTAATATATAATATGTAGTATTTAAGTGTTATATTATGGAATTTGAGAAGTTATTGAAATTTTTATATGATTTTAAAAATATTTTAAATTCATAACTATATATTTCAATGTACAAGATTTTGATAAAATAAAATCTTTAAAGTTAAATTATAATGTTTTTGAAATTTAAATTATTAAAACATATATAATGATTTTATAGAAAAAAATAATATCATATAAAATTAAATGAAAAAGGATAATAAATTCAACTTTTACCATGATAAGGTTAAAAAATATTATTTAAGTGGAAGGAGGTGGGGCCCACTTATATATTTTATATAGTAAGTATTGGACATTTGTAATGATTTAATTGGGACAATGGTAGTAAATCCTAGACGCTTCTAATATATAGTAATATAAAGTAAAAATTAGGCAAATGACATAGTATAAGAAAGAAATTACTTCATTTCCCTATTCTTTCATTAATTACCAAAAATCCCTTTTTTAGTGTTTTTCGGATATATAATATAGCAGTGTGAATACTTAATATAGCAGCGAGGATACTTTAATTAATAACGGGCGGATACTTAAATTATTAAGTTGTTAGCAGCACAGATACTTAATTAACGGGTGGATGCATAATATAGCAGTGTGGATACTTTAATTAATAACGGGCGGATACTTAAATTATTAAGTTGTTAGCAGCACGGATACTTAATTAACGGGCGGATGCAAAATATAGCAGCGCGGATACTTTAATTAATAACGGGCGGATACTTAAACTAATAAAGTATTCGATTAAGTTGAATTGGGGGAAAATAAGGGATTTTTGTATTTTAGTAAAAGAGTAGGGAAATATTGAGAATAGGTAAAAAAGTGTTGTGTATTTAAGTAATTTTTCCATATATAAACCTGGCAAGTAAAATAAATCGAAAATAGTAGTAACATTTTATCCTTAGTGATATGATTACTAGCTATACAAAATATTTATTATTCATTTTAAATTATTTTTTAAAAAACATTGGGGCTTATTTGGGAAAGGGGATACAAGGCGAGGAATCAAATCTTCACCAACAAAGTGAGAATTCAGACACTAGCGGAGCCAAAATTTTTATTAAGGATATCCAAGAAAAATGGTGTGTGCCTGTCAAAATAAAACAAAAAAAATATTGTGTTGTTTGGGTTTTTTTTTTCTATCTTTTTTTTTTTTTGCAGACCCCAAATCTTGAGTCAGAATATATATATATCATAAGCCAACTATTTGTGGTTCAAACACAGAACTCCTTCGTTCAAATAGACATTCATTATCGCTGCGTCAAATGCATAGCTTTTATCAAGGGTGTCCAATATATATATATATATATAAAAGGATTGTTCATCTACAAAAAAGAAGGAAGGTATACACGCAAACTTTTTACTACAATATATATATATATATATATATATATATATATATATATATATATATATAAATGTAGAATTTGACATATATATACAATAGAAATTTTCGACGAAGAACAACTATAGCTACGCACTGAATTCAGATAGTCAATTAACTAAGATATACTAAGATTTTCCAATTTACTTTATATCATAAATTTAACAAGGTCTTTTTCTTTTTTCCAAGTTCATATATCTTGTTTTTTGTTTTGATAGTTAAATCTTTCTAAGCATAGTTGAGTTTCTCTTTAAAATTAAATGCAAATTGTTAGCTTCTGTATATTTGACCAAGTTGCTTGATGATGTATTGTAATTTGTAAATAATGTATTTAACAGTCAAAAAAGTTTTGCAACTAAGCTACTATATTAGGTATTAAAGTCAAAATTTGTGTATCAAGTTTGTCGCTACGCACATGGCCAAGGGCGAGCTGATGAGAGCACGATAAATAAAAGGATCGTACACATAACACGTATAAGCTAGTAAATTCAAATAATATCTTAAATAAATCTTACATCATAAAAAAAGTAAAAGACGGAATATTATATAAAAATTATTTACACCGATTATCTATATTATTATTATTATTATTACTTGCTATAGAATGTTTTTTTTCTTGTTTAAGAAGCAGCGACTGCTACTTGAATCTCTCCTTCTGTAATTGGCATAAATCCTACTCGTTTCTGCATAATAATAATAATTGAAAAAAAGGGTTAATCCAATGAATATTATTTAGTAATATTTAATTTGTAACAACTAAAAATGACATCACAGTGATGAGTTACATACGTTATCATGGGCAGAATAATATGTTTCAACAAATTTTATTTTTCTAAATTTTAATAAACAATTCTGTTTGGTACACTACCAAAAGCTAGTGTTTATCTTCTAACTGGTGGTTAACCAATAATTTTCATGATATTATGCATAAATATTAAACATAACGAATATTTATATAGTTGGAGTTATCAAAGTTTTACTTATGGCTCACTTTTTTATGATGATAGTGTTTGAATCTACTTAGATACATCATAATTATTTTATTGAATACATCAGTTATTTTTCTTCATCATAAACAGATAATAGAATGATAGTCATCCGTGAAAATAAAAATTTCAGAAAAAGAAAATTAGTGAATGTTTATAAAACAAGGTTTTAGGTATTTTTAAAATTTCAAATTGTATTTGAAGTTTTTATGACCGAACGTTGATTTTCAAATAAAATAAATAAAAAAGTGAAAATTCTGGTCAAACATTCCTAAATATGTGTTTCATGTAATCTATTTACTAAACGTGTTTCTATTTCCTTTTGCGCCACCTTTGACTATATCCAATGAGGAAATTAAAAGCAAAGTTCATTTTTGAAACGTACTCTATCACAATTTATATGACGATGTTTTGATGGTATTTAACTAATTATGAAAATTTAAGAAAAAAATAATTAAAACTTGTGGTTTAAATTTGAGAACAAGTTATAAATATTGATGTGACTATAATTCTATGATTTAATCAATTTCTAATAAAAAAGTGATCATTTATGTAACACATATAGTTTTTGATATACTCCTTAATTACTTTTTTCTTATAATCGTATTCGAATCAGTTTACACATACCTTAGTTAATTTCATGAATAATTAATATGACATTAGAATCATGATAAGAACAATACCTCTCGTGATTTGACTCCTTTCTTAACTATTCCTCCATTATTATGACTTTGTTGTTCCATCAAAGCACCACTTCCACAATTGTTGGTATTCATGCAAAGTTTCATAATTTTCTCAGCCACCTCATTCTCATCTTTGCTCTCCATCATCAATTTCTCTACCTCCACTTTCGATAACCTCAACTTCAGTCTCGTAGGGTGGGCCTGAGACGGCCCACCATTATTGAGTATATCTGAAGCAGAGCTATTATTATTATTATTATTATGATAAGACGAACACTCTTCAGTTACAATACTAGCTGGCTTCATGATTGACAAGTCAGACGTGGATCTCCGCGCTAACATAAGTGTCTCTAGACGATCCTTCGCGCTCATTTGGATCGCGGACCGGACCCTTCTCGTACTTTTTTTATTCTCTTCGGGGAATTTAGGTAATTCAACGAGAAAATAAAGCCTTTTAGATTTTAACTCTTGTTGAGGTTCTAGTGGCTTTGCTCGAACCCCGTAATGCTTTACTTCTTCTGATTCTAATAATACCATCGATGGATAATTTTTCAGAACCTCGATTGCATAAACTGGGGTTTTGAATTTCATCGTTTGTCCATCGATTTTCATCACTTTTGTTGTTTTTTTTCCTCCTAGACTGTTCCCCATTTTTTGGTTTTTTCTTTTTCTTTTTTGGAACTTAAAACCAAAAATAAGAGAGGAGAATTTATGATGGAAAAGTTGTTGTTTTGGGCTTTTATAGAATGTTAGCAAGATAAATAGTACAAGTTGGTGTAAGATGAGGACAAGGAGGTAAACAGTTGTAATTGTTTGTTAATGGGTCAAAGAAAGAGTGCAGATTTGAAAAATATGGACACATTATTTTAAAGTTTAGTAAAGTTATGTAATTAACTATTTATTTTTATATGGTCGCGTTTATTAATCATGTATTCAATCTTATTTTCAAAATCATAGATGACTATCCGAGGATCACTCACTCTACTTATAAATAGTATGTTTCGTGAATGATATAATGGTGTAAAACATGTTATCGATAAATATCTTTTGGATGATATAACGGTGTAAAACATATTATTTACATTGATGGTTTATATATAAAAATTTAAATTTGATTTTAACCATCTAGAAAAGGATTAGAAAGTAAGGAGTCGTATTATGTGGTTGTCAGGGTGTCTAATTGAACACGTTTTGTTGGGGAAAAATATCGTATATATATGTAGTGATTAAATAACATATTTTGAACATCCTTGACACAATTGGCTATTATAGCCCAGCGATTTCAGATGTCTCGAATGAGCCACTATCCTTGTGTTTGAATCTCACAAGCAGTAATTTTCTCTCTTTTTAAAAAGAGTTTTTGTTGTGCAATTTCTGAACACTCTTTGTGAAATTTTTGACTTCACCACTAATTACACATTTAAACTATTTCAACTAATTAGAACATACTAATATTAATATAATTTGCTATATTTTAACGACTCATAAGCAAAGGGACTAGAAGTTTGTATTTAATTATTGGAAGGTTAACTTTGACTAGTTATATATCTCAAGGATCGTAATATTTATTTATTTTTCGTATTTGGGGGACGAAAAGTGAAAAAAATTTCAAACTATAATAAAAAGTGATATTATTATTTTTTCATATTTCTTTGTTTGTTTGCCTAGTTGGTTGTGGTCTTTATTTATTTATTTTTAGTCTATGAAAAGAATACCTTAGTTTGTCATATTCGTTTTTGTAATTAATTTATTCGATAACGTTTCTTATTTGCACGCCAACATAACAACCATGTCCCATATTTAATGCCAAATATCGGATTTTAGAACCCTTCAATTTCTACTTTATATAATTGCAAGTGTAATAATTAGTAATAACTCGAATTCAAGTCGTGTATATAAAAAAATTCAGTAACATAAAGCATTCTCCCTAACAAAAAAAAACTAGTAATGAGTAATAATGCTTCTTATCATTATGGATTATCGTGCAGTAGTGAGACTGTTTCATTCTTAAGCAGAGGTTTCGAGTTCGAATCCTATGTATGAAGAAATTTTGTTGAAAGCAACACCTCCAAATAGGCTCTATCATAATTTTATTAGAACGGATCCGAATACCGAGGAAAAAAAAAACGCTCCTTAAGTTGGACATCTGGAAATGAAGAAATACTCCTGATATCTAGAACAATTTAGACATTGAGGATTTTATTAATATTATATACACAAAATGTGTCAATAAATCAAATCTTCATTTTGTACTCATCTTCTCATTCATATTCTAAAATAAATATTTTTTAAAAAAAAAAACAAGCTCCGTGAATTATGGGGAACGATTATGATTAATAACGTAATTTGGTATATTATTTAATATTAACATAAACTCATTGGTTAATTAAATAATTAAGAATTTAGCTTGCTTAATTAATGAAAAAGACGTGCGTAATTTACGGTGTGGATCCGTGAATTAGTAAAAGAACTCCCGTTTCATTGTCATTAGGGGTGTTCACGGTTTGGATAAAAATCGATCCAAATCGGAAAATTGAATCAAACCGATAAAATAAAATCAATTTTATTTGGGTTTGGTTTTTGATTTTTGAAAATCGGTAGTATTTGGTTTGGTTATGGTTTTATTCAAAAAACCGAAGAAATAACCGAACCGATGAATTATATACATATATTTTTATTAATATATATACTTAATATATTGTTTTTATAAAGAATTTTAAAGATCTTATATATATTTTCAATAAAATTTCTTTATAATTTACTTATTGAAAGCAAAAATGCCCACGATGAAAACATTTATCTTATTGATTTCATGTATATGAGTGTCTATGACAATTCTTTGTGGGACTGAAAATGTTATTGTCTCTTCCTTTTAGGTCAATATAGTGAATTTTAAAGCTTTATTGATCGTAAATTTAGTGATCGAAAGTTCAGTAATTTAAGTCATTCAAACTATATTTCGTTTTGAATGGATTGTTGTCACTTTTTTCACATTTTGAATGAATTGTTTCTTTTGTTTTTGTGTATGGTTAATAACCAAACCAAACCAAACCGAAATCGATAACCACCAAATCGATAAATGTATATTATATTTGGTTTGGTTTGGTTTGGTTTTGATAATTTTAAAACCGATTAAGTTAGCTTGGTTTTGATTTTGACCAATAACCGATCCAAACCGACCCGTGAACACCCATAGTTGTCATCATGTGTTTTTTATGGTTACGGATAATTATAGTGTTCGGATTAGCTAGCATGTATTTAATTAATTTTACTAAATACTTCGTATTTTCTATTAATAAATAGTATTGATGACTTTATTCGTCAAGGCTTAGACGAATACAAATAAATCATCTAATTTTTTTTTACAGAAGATTATAAAACAATATTGAGTATAAAAATGTAACTTTTTATGTTTCTCTTCTTACCTCTCTACTCAAGACAATAACTACATTTTATAACCATACCTTCTTTATTTATATTGGAATTTGATTCTACAATCTCAATTTGTTTAATATGGAGTAATGTTTAATTACGAATTCTGAATGTTAAATATTTTGTGTGCTTTACTTTTAGTTTTTGTCAATAATATATTGACCGATAACCGCACAGTTCTTGCTTAGTCAAGAGACCTGGTCCATTGACTTATGGTGAACACATATAAGCCATCATCACTAAACTAAAATGTTACAAAAGAATGTAGTAATATTTTTTTTCAATCATTTTTGACGTGTATCTACAATGCACATAGAATTAGAACGTAATTGTGTTCATAGTAACCATCGACAAGCAATTGTGTTCACAAAATTATTTGCCAATCAAATGTTAGGCAATATTTATCAACATTGATTGTGGTGCAGTGGCGGAACTACTTCATCCTTAGCCAGGTTCCGAATTCGAATTCTGAATATAAAGAAAATTTTATTAGGAGTGTCACCCCGAATAAATTCGTAAGCAATAATTTTACAAAAGGACATCAATATTTGCGTAAATTAGTCAAAAACACATATAACACGTTACATTCAGTCCTAATTTAGGGGAGTTATCGGTGATTACTTACTAACTTACACCTTTGACCAAAAAAAAAAAAAAAGATTGTAGTAACAAAAAAAATTCAACAAATTAGAGTTGAATTATGTATAATTTGTAACATGAGAGGTCAAAAAGTAACTTAAATAGTAACAATAGTTCCAACAAAATGCACCATTTTCGTCAATTGTTAGTATAATTTCTCAACAATAGTCATCCAATGTTTGATTGATTTTTAATGAGCGGAGCCATGAATTCAAACAAGAAAAGTAAAAAAAAAAATTATATCAGAAAAAATTGTTTATCCTATCGACAACAAAGAACAAATTGGAAAATAGCAAATTTGATGAATTAATATTCATTTCATATTTTTTTTTCATCTATATCACTCTTCTTTGTCTTTCAAGTCAAAAATAGTTTCTTTCGTTTTTATTTTATTTACGTAAAATAATTTTTCAACAAAAAATGTTCTAATCCCCCCTGGTTTGTAATGACACATTATTTTCTTATATCGTACTAGAAAAATTGCCCAACAATTATAGCTCTTGTCAATAATATATTATGTCCAGGGACGGAGGCAGCATATACTTAGGAGGTTCGGATGAACCCCTTCAGCGGAAAATATTTTTATACATGGTTAAATTATTTTTTAGGTATGTATAGTAGATGTCGAACTCCCTTTCACTAGTTCGTGTGTTTACTTCTCAAATTTTGAACCCCTTATTAAAAATCTTGGCTCCGCCACTGATTATGTCTAGTATTTTACCTATTTTGTCTTATAAAGTACTACTAAAATTCCCCATAATTCTAGTTCTAGTCAATATGTAATATAATGTCTAATATTTCACCTAATTTTTTTAATTTTTTTAAACTTCAATAGCCATAATGTCAAACTATCAACCTCAATGTCTAGGTGTTCCATGTGCTATATATGTTCATATCATGTTTAGAAGAAGGAAAAAAAATCAAGCTCTCATTATTAGAATGGAATTTATTTGCTTACTTTGAAAAAAAAATGATTTTTTTTCAAAAAAATGCAGCTTTGTAAATTTAAAAAAATATCAACCAGAAGATTTTTCAAAAAAATTGCTAGAAATTAAAACATCAAATATATTTTTTTATCAATTGAATATAGGAGGTGTAGAAAATATTCAATTGTAAAAAAATATATATTGGTTTATCATAAATATACTTGACCTTTTAATTAAATTATGATTAAAGGTTTTTTTTTCTTTTTTGCTAAAGAACAGAAGGATTTTATTTAATTTAAATAATAAGAAGGCTCATCGTCCAAACAAAAGTGAAACTAATCTATGTGATCTAGTTCCAGTCGCATTTCTTTCTATAGCATTTGTTACGAGAGAAGTGAAGGAGATCTTCAAAAATTAGAACAAGTACACAAATTTGGAAAAATGAATATCATGGTGATTTTAATTAATCTAATATTGTGTGAACCTTTGGCCATTTGAATTATTCTTCATCACATATATTTAGCTTATATTAAATTAAACATGTTGCAAAAACATTTATATTAATTTAGAATTCGAATAGACTTGTAATTTTTTCATTACACTACATTTTCATGTCTAATATAATTAAAAAATGATTAGTTCTTGAAAAGGAAAAGAAATTGTTCTTAAGAGAGACAAAATTCAACCTACTTGTA